TAATCTTCTCATAACCTGATGATCTTGTGCTCACATGTCCCCAGGTGTGTTTCTTCGTGGCTCTCTACTACAATGTGATCCTTGCATGGAGCCTGTTCTACCTCGGGAACTCCTTCCAGTCGTCTCTGCCTTGGGAACACTGTCCAGTAGAGGGGAATGTGACAGGTAAACACACCGCATTACGGTTCAAAACTTATAACACATGAGGAGTAATTCAATTGTTAATGTATAGGCATGGTGTCACGTGAAAGCTTAATGATTTATTTGTATTTCCCTTGTCTTGACACCAGTACCAGAATGTAAAAAGAGCTCCCCCACATCGTACTTCTGGTACCGTAAAGCTCTGGATATCACCGACTCCATCGATGAGACGGGCTCTTTCAACCCGTACATCGTGGGCTGTCTGCTGGCCGCCTGGACCCTCGTGTGCCTGGGAATGTTCAAGGGCATCAAGACCTCTGTCAAGGTAACCCTGTTGTGACTCCTGACTTCACAATGTTTTGTATTCTCCGTGGGGCTGGAGCTAGGTTAGTGAATCTCAGCCCCTGAAGTCGGTGTATGATTGAGTGTGAATTTTTAATTGTATGTGTAACAACGCGTTGAGGGGTCCTTAAAGACTGGAAAAGCGCTATATAAAAGCAGTCCATATAGTATTCGAACATGAAGGCATATTTTTTTGGTTCTTGTTTTAAAGGGGACCTATCATGCAAAATGCACTTTTTGATGTCTTTTATAGATAAATATGTGTCCCCGGTGTGTCAGGGAACTCACGCAGCGTCAGAAAATAAAACCCTCTTCTCTTTTCCTCCGTACCCAAATCTCTAAAAACGGGGGTACAACGGAGCTGATCCAGATTTGCGTCCGATATGACGTAATATCGGCAATGCGGACCCACGGCACTATCAGAAATGTTTCTATCAGAAACAATGCTCGACTGTTTTGGACGTAATATGGTCGGTGTTTACATTAGCATCGCTAACACTCAGAGCTAACCTGTACTGGAGAGCATGTGTGTGAAGAAGCAGGCAATAAAAAGGAACTCACCTTGTGGTATAACCGGCAAGAGAGAAAGCCTTTGAGCTCCATACTGTTTCAGAAAGAATCCTTGATAATCCATGATATGGCGTTTCATCACGGCAGTATTTAGTTTAGACAGTAGCTGCCGGGTCCCGCATGAGCTCAGCCCCCTTTTTTTTTATTTAATTTTTTTTAAAGCTTTATACCCCAAATCAGCACTTTTGAAACAGGAAGTGAAATAGAGGGATATGAGGCATGGCTAGAATGGGTGATCTGTTTGGTATTTTGAGCAAAACACTTCATAGACATGTTTTTTATATATTTTTATATATCTGAAACCTATGCTATTGCCTAAAAATAGTATGATAGGTGCACTTTAAGATGATTTACTTCAAACATCATCTGTTTTAAAGTATTTGTATGACTTGCTTGTGAGAGTCAGATTTCACTCTTGCTTTTGACCTCCAGTCCTCTTCTTCTCCCCCTTTCCTCCTCTTGTCCCATGACGAGTTCTTTTCAAATCGTATTAGTTATTATATATATATATATGTATTTAAAAAAATGTTTTATTTCTATTATATTTGCCGGACAAACTTGAATAGTTGGTGTGATTATTGTTTTAATTGCGTTGATTATTTAAGACAATATTGATTTAGAAACATACCTTGCCAATATGGTTAATTGATTACCATAACAGTGTTAACTTTGGAATCAGCTGAGTGTTTCATTAAACAAAATGTGAAGAGAAGCTCTTTATGAGAAAGACTGACGTGATGTCACATTGTTTCCGGTGCTACATTGTTTTCAGTTTTCTGGCATGTGTGGGGGATTTGGTTTTGGGGTTATTCCGGGTGAAGGAATCCCTGGAATGTCAGGCTTACAGAAGGAGTTGACGCACTTAGAAATCCTGCCTGGAACATACAAAGTATATTTAGTAGTTTTACACTTCAGATTAGATGAAATGGCAGTTATATCTTTGGGGGAGATGGGTTGTTTTAGCGGCAAATTAGTAGGATTCAGCTGAAATGTACTTAAAGACGGTTTATATAAGTATAAGAAATGTAGCTACGCTATTTAAGAAAAGAGTCTATAGGAGAACACCTTACCAACAAGAACAATTGAAGTTTGTGGTGCATATTTAATCAAAACTTCTTCAAAATGCTAGTCACTTGAGGAGAGTAGTGCTTTTTTAACCTAGTGCCATTACGCAAAGGCATAACCAAAAAACGAATGTCCACTGTTGGCTATCTGGATTCCTTAATCCTGATAATGTAATCTTTCCTTCTATCTTCTAGGTGATGTATTTCTCCTCCATCTTCCCCTACGTGGTGCTGTTCTGCTTCCTGGTTCGAGGCCTCATGCTGGACGGGGCTTTAGATGGAATCGGCTTCATGTTCTACCCAAAGGTATCTGCAGACAAAAGGCCTGGTTGATTACGGATAAGAGAGGCTGATATAAATATTTCTCTAACGTACCCTTTGTTCCCCCTCTATATTTCTAGCTGGAGATCTGGGCCGACGTGCAGGTGTGGCGACAGGCAGCCACTCAGGTGTTCTTTGCTTTGGGTCTCGGCTTCGGGTCGATCATCGCTTACTCCTCCTATAATCCCAAGAACAACAACTGCCATCGTGATGCCTTCACTGTCTCCACGATCAACTTCCTCACCTCTGTGCTGGCCACTCTGGTGGTGTTCGCTGTGCTCGGCTTCCGCGCCAAAAACAAGGCCATGGAATGTGTGGTCAGGTATGTCGTGTCTAAAGAAAAACACTCATGAAATACTTTAATAAAAACTCAAGACAGGTTCCACAGTTTGTTTAATTCATCGATTCTTTGAATGTTTTGTGTGCCTCGCCATGTCTTGTTGTACAAACTGTATGTTTTCTTTCCTTTCCTTTCCTTAGTAATATTAAGGAGTTATCGGAGCAGTTTCACAGCGGTCCTGTGGAGATAAACTTGATGCCAAGCTTCAACTATTCTGATCCCAGTGCTGTGGCTCTAGAGGACTACAGGGCCTGGTTCAAACTGCATGGAAAACAGTTCCCAGGCAATCTAACAGACTGTGACATGGAAAAAGAGATGCAGCAGGTACATATTAGGAGTTTTTGGGCTAAAATAAATTAGCATTTTTGTTGTATTCTGTGTGCTGAACGTGGCACTGTTGTTTGTGTTCAGGGTGTGGAGGGAACAGGCCTGGCTTTCATCGCCTTCACAGAGGCCATCTCTCTCCTGCCTGGCAGCCCCTTCTGGTCAGCGCTCTTCTTCCTCATGCTGCTCAACTTAGGGCTCAGCACCATGTTTGGCACCATGGAGGGAATCCTCGCCCCACTCACTGACCGCTTCAAAACTCTGGCCAACAACAAGACTAAACTCACAAGTAAACACCTTTTTAATTTACCTCAACCTAGGGCTGTGCAATTAATTGTATTTGAATCGCAATTACGATTTTGGCCTGCCACAATTACAAAAACAACATCATCGAAAAAAACTATTATTTTGCTTTGCTAGGTTGTTACAGTGCACTGCAACATATTTGATCTAATTTATTTGTATTTATCATATTTATATATGTTTAGTAGCTTGTGGAGGTGCGCTCCAAAATATTTGTTGACCTTGTTTATTGGTATTTATTATTTTTGATATTATTTATTTAAATGTATAATTTATTTTAGTATTGGTTTTTCAGTTGAATTATACATTCAGGGTAATCAACAGTTAAAAACATACTTTTCAAATTATTATTTGTATTTGTTTTAAAGTTCAATAAATTGATGTTTTCAAAGTCAATGAATAATCGTATTTAATAATCGTGATATCAATTATTGACCAAAAATAATCGTGATTATGATTTTTGCCATAATCGAGCAGCCCTACCTCAACCCTTGTTTCTTCTTTTAGAAAATGGACAAGTCACACACATTTACACATCACAGCACACACTGAAATATAAGTCTCTGCATTTCACCCATCCTCGACTTTAAGCACTGGGCAGCTATTATACAGCTGGCCAGGTGTACATCTGTCTTGCACAAGGGCAGCGCCAGGGAGGTAAACTTGCACCTGACAAAGAACTGGTCCTCTCTCCATACTTGGTCCGTCGACTTGAACCAGCAACCCTAGTCAAGTCCCTGCTGACTGAGCGACTGCTGCCTTTTTAAGGGGGCAAGAATGCATGAATTTGTTTTTATTGCTAAGCCTTGAGTCGAGAAGCTTTCAAACAACTGGGATTTTATGAACTCAGATTCAAGATTTGCACACAGCTCCAAACAACAGTCAGTGGTTATTGTGTGTTCTCCATTAAGTGCTATTTTACGAAGTACTTTTTTGTTATATTACCCTGCTGGTGGATATCTCTGCTAACAGCCAGTAGATCAGTGTCTTGTCACGTGTCATGGAGCTGTGTCTAAACAGGATTTCCTGCCAACCATCAGCTGATTACACACTTTCAAGCTGAGCGGAAGCAGAATTAGTAGAAGAAACCTTGAATGTTTGCATTGACTTTAAATTCATTTTGTGTTCTTGTTGTTGTTGTTGTGTTTACCCTAACATGTCTGTGTTGTTTTTAGTTTTCAGCTGCATCATCGGCTTTGTAATCGGCCTCCTCTTCACCCAGCGCTGTGGAAACTACTTTGTGATGATGTTCGATGATTACTCTGCCACTCTGCCACTCATCATTGTTGTGGTTTTTGAGACCTTCAGCGTGTCTTGGCTGTATGGAGCTGATAGGTGAGGTCTAATTTCAGACTGTGCGTAACTCTCTTCTTAGATGTAAATGTCTCTGAGTCTTATCAGTGTTTGTAACAAATGTGTAATATGCACCACTCTGGGTGTCTGAAGGTTCCTGGATGACATTGAGGGGATGCTGGGCTGGCGTCCTCATGTGATCTACAAGTACCTGTGGAAATACGTCTGCCTGCTCGCTATGCTGGGGCTGCTGGGCGCCACCACCATCCAGATGTTCATCAAACGCCCCACCTATATGGCATGGAACCAAGAGAAGGTATGTTAACACTGAACATTTTTAAAAATGTGTTCTGGAAATAATTGTCTCTGCTTTCTAGACGTTACAAGGCAAATTGTCGCTCCTTAATAAATTCCCAACCTGAAGCATATAACTAATGGTTTATCTCTCTATGTATTTCTCTGAGTAGTGATAAGTTCCACTTGTTTCAGACCTTGCGTGATTTAGATTTTGATTCTATTTTCTCTTCTTCAGGGATCTGAGGAGTACCTCGAGTACCCGGACCGGGCTCTGGCTGTCATGGCCTTGCTGATCATATTTGCTGTGATGCCCGTCCCGATAGCTTTGATTCACGCTGTCCTGATGGACCGGCGGACAAGAGAAAGAGCCAGAGATTCAGAGGCCGGTCAGTACAGCATTGTTAGCACCGGCAACAATTGTGGAAGTCTGATGACTGACATGTCAGACCTGGACCAAAAAAAAAAGACTGCTGCTTCTGTTTCCTCAACACTGGACCCCGAAGTTACACAAATGAATTAGATAAAAAAAAAAAAAATCAAACATGCTTCATCTATTTAACAAATTGTAATCTAGTATGCAGTGGAATATATGACATGCTAAAGAGTTTATACAAGCTTGGAAACTGCATTGTTACTGCAGTTAGTGGCCCAATTGACCTTGAATTTGAAGTATCATAAAAAGTTATGATAATCTGTGACCAGAAGGGAATTGTTTCCTTTAATTTTGACATGAATAAAATGGCATCGTCAGCATGAAGCAATATGTTGGCCTCACTGTTATTCCATAAAGACACAGCCAGACTTCTGCTGCCATGTAAACATCTGAAAAGGTAAGGTGGAGATGTTCTTATTGACCAGTAACCTGCAGCTCTCTCTGACTATATGCAGACCTTAGTGTGTGTTTAAGTGTATCTGTAAAAGTCTGGAAGCACTTCCAGAACACATGCAGGCAGACTGATGCATGATGTCTAAGGCTATCGAGACATGTGTTAATGCAGCTGACTGTAAGTGTTTTGACTGTTATACATAGTGAAGAGTTTGCACATTTCTTTGTTTCTCTTTTATATTTTTCGTTCTTGAGCATTTTGGGTGTCCTTGCAGTCCTGCAGAAGGTGAGAGTGGGGACACACACCGCCCTTACTGTAGTCAGCACAGAGGATCAAATATCACACTGTAAAGATGACTAAACAATGTAGCTTTCTAGATAGTGAATAGACATTGGAGATTTAAAGGGTGAATTATAAGTAATTGTTAAAAGAGGAAGCCCTCTTAATTATGTAACTATATGTTTTTTGAGGGAAATGTGGCATCTATCTGAACCATCATCAGTAGATAAGTGGTTTGATTTGATATCTTTGTCTTAAGCTCCCCTTGGGTAACTGTATTCTGTTATCTTTCATATTTAAATAGAAATAGAAAATCTACATGTGTTCTTGTACATCTCGTACTACATTTCAGTTTTACAAAGTAGTTGTTTAAACTTACACCCCCAGTATCTGTGGCTTTTTTTTTTTTTTAATTGAAGCAGTACATGAATGTGTCAGCAGGGAGCTCTGTTGCACTCACGTTTCTCTGCTCAACATGTCAGGTTGTGTGACCTCTGCAAAAACATTTAAGCTCTCACTTGTTGGCCTTTTTCATACAAGGTGGCTTTTTTTGCCCCTTTATTGTATTTTTTAAGACCTAAACAAAAACTGCTTTCGCCGAGAACGAGTAAGAATAGTCACTTTAAGAATAAAGCCTATAAAAGCTTTCAGAACATTGTGCCAGACCGCTGAAGGTTGAGCCTCTGAATTCCCTTTGTCAGGCTGCTTTACTTGTGTAAGCTATTTTCTACATGTGTGTGCTTGTTAGGAAGAGTACGCACAGGTGTCCCTTGGAAATACTGCCAGGTGTCCGGGGAGTTCAGTTGTCGTGGATGCAGTCTCTCTTCAGTCAGCCAGAAAGGACCAACACCCGGCAGAGAAACACGACATCCTCGCTTCCACATCAGGTAAGTAAATAACACAAGATTTATTTGTAATAATAAAACTTGCCTTTGCATTACAGTGAATGTGTTTGTGTGTGGGATAGGTTTTATCTATTTGTTTCAGTGGCCTTTTTCAGAGCAACACCTGACTGATAAACAACTGCAATATTGGGTAAAGATTTTAGTGACGCCCATGTCTTTAATGTGTTATAAACACACTTATTGTTTGCTCCAAGTTGTGAAAAAAGTTCATATTTAACGAACGACACACACATTGTTTTTGTGAAATGAATGTATTTGCTTAAATCTTAACAGAGATTGAGTAAAACTGAATGATCAGCATAAACAGTTTACTGATGTAATGTTTCCTCATGTCTTAAGACTCAAACATATATGTATAAAGATATATTGACATGGGCGTCAGAGAAGGTGTTTTCCAATGTGGTTTTGACTGTTATTGATTTACATGGCTACGTAGGAAAGAGCAGCCAAGAGAAAGCATGTATATTTGTATTTGTTTCTATTTTTTTTGCAGGTGTATCAATTTGAATTTGCAGACATACGTTCTAACCCCCCCATGGCGGGCCTGGCAGCTCTGTGTCTGCTGCTGGTGTTTCCACTGAGCCACTCCCAGAGCTCCCAGAACACCCTGCAGTTGCAGCAGGAGGTTGACTCCCATCAGGGATTACCTCCTCCTCCTCCTCCTCCTCAGCGATACATAATGAACCTGCTCAGGAAAGAGGAAGCTACTCATTTAAACGCAAAGCAGACATGTAAGTGGAAAAATAAATAATGTTGTTAAGTAGAACTGGATCTATGGAGTCCCAGAGAGGCAAGGGGTGATCAATTTTTATTAATGTTCCAGTTTTAAGTCTTATTGAAATGTTTTCTCCTCTGTATTTGACTTTAAACAGGTGGAGATGTTTATGCAAGGATAGTTTCCTTAAGTCTCTTAAACTAACCAAAAATAATAATATGTGCAACTGTTGGGAAAGTTAACCAGGATCATTTTTATAATTTCCTTTATTTTTTATAACTAAAATCTGGTGGGAAAAACAGTTTTGAGAGGTTTTTATTATATATATTATATATTATATTATATTATACAAAAGAGACACAAGAGGATACACCACTATCCCATGTTCTAAATATGATGGAAAATAATTGTGTTATCTTCCAGGTGAGCTTACATGTCTCCATGATTACAGCAACCCTTTTCTTTTTACCATGCATACTGTATATTTCTCACCTGCTTTACAGAATAATCTGCTTTTGGGAACTATAGACAGATTATAATGTTATCACCTTTTGCCCACATCTTCTTAAAAACGATTTAGATCAGACTTAGAGAATGGATCACAATAAATAAATAAAAAAAGTCTCTCAATTGCCTCTCAGAGCTTCTGTAAATATCCATCCTGCACAGTGATAATGACACAGAGTGGCAGCATCTGGCTCAATAACAAAGATGTGCAACAGGATTCATGTGTGAAGACCTTGACTCTGATGGTCTCTGTGCCTCCACAGATGTCCAGGTAGAACAAGACAATGCCAAAGTGGGTCTGTTCGTCGCTGCAGCCGTAGGAACCTTCGCTCTGATGGCTGCTGTGTACTGTATCTACAACAAGTTCTACTCCAAACACCAGTACCTGCACACCCAGCTCAACGATGACTCGGGTAGATTAATACATTTTGTCAATTAAATTATAATTGTATTAGCGCCTCTTTCAGTCTCACACTTGAGGCAACGGCAGCACTATGGCATCAAATTGGATTGCCTGGAGGGACTGTCAGAAATCTGTAAGGTTGTAAAAATACACATGTCTAATCTGCCTTCAAAGAAACACTACAACAGAGAAAGCTGAAACTAAAGTGACAGCAAGGAGTATAGAAACTTCTATCACGGGGTAATAAAAGGAAGCTCAAATACAGACAGTTTCTTCGGCAGCAGACAGAGAGAGACTTCCATCCAGAGAGAAAACTGGACTTCTGATATTTTTACTCTCCTGTCTCTTGGGAGTCATTTGATGAAAAGCATCCGGCCTTGTTATTAAACGCGAGCAGGCTGTGTCGTATTTATTTAAATAACTTCTTATTACTGAAGTTCCTGCTTAATGCTTTTTATATTAAAGGAATAAATTATCTTGCATAATGAAGCTTTAATATTAGAAATACAACAGCAAATGTGTATACACGGTAGATATAAATACAGTTACATAATTGATCATAATGTTTTTATAAAGCTGTTCATGGTTCTATAACCTGTGATTTATTTATATATACTAAACACACATTAAAGGGGCCCAATTATGCTTTTGGGGTTTTCACTTTCCTGTAGTGTGTTATATACTGTAGGCCAAAATCCCTGTGTTCCCTCCGGAGGGAGTTTCTCTCCCACACATGTTAGATATCATATGTAACACTTACAATTCTATTGGTTAGCGCTCCAACATATTGTACATTGCTGGTCATTTCGAAGCGGTTGCTGGTCATTTCTAACCGGCCAGCTAACTAATCAGAACAGACTGGGCTCTGGTTTCAGACAGAGGGTGAAAAGAGGTGATGCAGCACAGACAGTATGACAAAAATAAAAAGCTTTTTGAACATTAAAGCGTGGAGACATGTCACATAGACACTACATACATGCACCTGAAAAGATGTGCTCTTTAAACTTCAAGTGACTGTCCTCTTGTATCTGTCTGCAGATTTCAGCACAGACCCCATGGACACTCCCCCTGTGTGTTTCCACGGCTCCGCCGGCTCCAGTGCGGTAGACGTGCAGAGAGGTGGTTACGGCTCGCTCTCGGACACTCCATCCATCATCTCTGTGCCACCCAGCCTGTCCCCCCCTCCCTCTGCCATGCCCTTCCCTCCCCTCTTCCTCCCCTCTCACTCTCTGAGAACTATATCAGCCAAGGACCTGGAGAAGAGCTGTGCCTAATGTTAAAAACTAGAAACTAGGCTAGTGAGACTTTTTCTAATAAGAAAAGAGAAGTAGTTGTTTAGAAATTTGTTTCACAATAACTAAACACATCAGATCAATTTGCAGTTTGCATGCTAATGGCTTTGCACATACATCCCTAGACAAGAAGTTACCTAAGTTACCTGTTAGCTGTAGTCACCTCCTGACCGGCTGCCCTTTCACTCATAACCACCCTCAAATCTGCTTGTAGATTTACACAGCTACAATAAACTACATTATTCTTGCGACCTATCTGACACCACCCATCCTTTGTCGTACCGGAAAAAATAAACTGTCCAGAGAGGAAATAAATGTTGTCTTATTTCTACATTTTATGGTGAATAATTAAAGTTCTAGTGACATATAGTATCAGATTAAAATAATGTGTTGCTATAGCATAAACAGTGACTCCATACTATTTAGGTGTCCCAAAATGTCTTAAGTGAAAAAGGCCTTTTGACTGTTTCTTTTATTGACATTAATTCAAAACAAAGTCAACACCATATGACTTAATCTGTAAAATAAAAACACACTTGTGCTCACATTTCCATGCAATGAATTAAAAAAATAAATAGTCATGCACACAGTCACATTTTGTAAACATGGTGAAATACATGTACAATCTCAATGCACTCTTGATAGGTAACTGTAATTTAAATTGTGGTATTAAAAAGTGTAATCCTGAAATGTAACCTTTAAAGATGGGTTAGGTAATTTTGGAGAAACCAGCTCGAGTGCGCTAGAATTTGAAAATACACAGCCGGAAAAAATCTGCCACTTCCTTACAGAGCCCCTCCTCCAACACACACGAACGCGCACATGACCAATGACGGCACGAGATAAGTTTGTGCACAGATGGGAGGCTGACAGGCAGGTAGGCCATCCAGTTATTTTAGCCGGGCCGGGTCAGATGATTGGTCGTGCTTTTTACAGTACTACGGCTTCCACAGATGAAAATTTGTTATGGATTTTTTGTCAAAGCACTTAAGATATTCATTGCTATCGGGATGTTAAGAGCATTCCATGGAATACAACAAAAAGTGTATCTTGAGCCGGTATCTCAAATGTACCTACCCCACCTTTAATACATTTTATTCTGAGGTAATGTAATCTCTGAGAAAACAGAAGTTTAGATGTTAGGGGGAATAGAACCAAAGTGATTTTACTTATATACGGTAAATAGCCTATATACAGTAAATAGCCTTTTGGTCAGTTTTTCTTTGCATGTGTGGAAACTATAAATAGACACCATATCAGCATGTGTTAAATTACCACAAGTGTTTAAGATTTGCACTTTTTCATACTGCAATATAAAAGAGAGCTTTTCAGTTTAATATTTGACTTTAAAAGAAAGTCACTGTTATAAACTAAAATTAAGAGGAAAATGTGAAACCACAGTGTTTGAAACCAGTCGTTTTTTCTTTTACTGTGGAATTTCTAGTCTTTCCATAATTTATTATAATTGTTTATACATATCTCAGGTCATTAAATAATCCACAGCCCATCCCAGAAGCGTCAGAGCATCCCGGGAGCAGCCTGCCCCTCCCCTCTTATAAATACATGGGAACTCTGGTTATATGCTTCGATCGGACCATGTTTTCTCTAACTCTCCAGCCGAAGCTTCTGCAGGTCCCAGAATAGCCTTCTCTTGAACAGTCGGTACTTAGAACGGCCGGCTGCGAGGAAGGAAGTGACATGCTATCTCACTACACACACTTGGAGAGATTAGCGCGCGGGCAGCGGTAATCTGGTTTCAGGACCACGGCCAGAGGCACCGTTTTACCACGAATCCTGTCAGAAGTTGCGTGAAAAAACATTTAAGGAGCAAGTGAAGAAGTTCATTTGGACCTTAAGGACTCTTACAAACTGGGATTGAGAATGTTTGCTCGGTTTATTTTATATCAAATTAGTTGAAGCAGATTAAATCTCAGTAACCCTGATTTACAGATTCCGCTACACAGGAAACTGCAAGTGATCAATTAGAAACAAGTAGTTCTTTTGTTATATGTGAGTGAGAAACACGGGGCGGAGGTAGTAGAGGAGAAGGTTGTGCGCTCAATCGGGAGCGCGCAAAGAGTGCACATTGGTCGGATCCTGGAGGCGTGAGGATGGAGATCCGACCGGACAGGTTCAAGATTGTTGCAGCCAAGACTCTCGGGAAAATATACGGGTATGTAAAAGAAAAATCTCTGGGAGAAATGACATCCAGAAACTGTTGAAACGATTCATGTGTAATTTTCTTGTCACGTAAAAAAGAAAGTTTATTTTATTGAAATACATTTAAGATGCATTAAGGGCGATTTTATTAATATTATTTGTCTTAAAAGAGAGCAGAAGTGCTATTAGAAAATCCATGTTTCCCGAGGCCTGGATTAGAGTGGTGTTGGATGACCTGGCACAACATCTGTCCCTCTATAGGTTCATGAATCTGTCACATAAGAAACTCGCATGAATAATTTAGCACTTTAACTGCAGTCGTGCAGAAGCTGTTATATATAAAATACGTGCACACACATGCTTTTAAAACCTCAAATGAATCCTTGTCTTCTTCACTTCTGTGGAACAAATAAACGGAATTAAGTTTCATTTTAGGCCAAAACTGTTCTGTATGTGTAAGATGAGGCGTTGGATCAATAGCTGGATGCATGGGCTTTTCTGCTGTGTTGTCACCTTTTTAAATTATGGAAGCCTTGCTGTTTTGTCTGGCAGTGTGTTTCAGTTCCATTGTACTCAAAGTATGTTTGACATGTTACATTTACTGAGAGTACTAAACACGCATGATCTGAGGCCTGTTATGCTGTCTCGGTATAAACTTAAGAGGACCTTGAAGTCAATATATTGACTTAGCTATCTCAATATATTGACTTACTATCTCAATATATTGAATTATATATATTTTTTTTTATTGAAACAATTATGTCAAATACAGAATAAGGCACATAGACATCAATGTTCATCATATTAGCGGTATACTTTATATTTAGCGGTATACTTTATATTAAGGTACACAAATTCACCATCACTATTTGTTAATTAACATGCATATTAGCAATATATATTGGCTCTTTCTTAGTCATTATAAAACACTTAGTAATGCCTTATTCTACATGACCATATTCTACAAGTAATCTGTATATGTTACACTTGCATGTATGAGATCATTAAGTGCCTTGTAACTTTTCTTTTTGTATAGTTTCACTCCGTTTGAATGTCAGTGGACTGCAAATAAGTCAATAAAGGAGCATGGCTGCTCATTCCTTGGCTCTCAAAAGAGTTTGGCTGACTGTTTAATCTATGTTCACACTGAGACAGTACAACACAGAGAGAACAGTACACCTATTGTATAAGTACATACAAGCAGGTCACACAGTCACAAATACATAAACTCTGTTAAAAATCAGTTTTATTAAAAGTACAGGCTGTATGTGTTCTCAGCCTTTGGAGAAACTTGACATGTTTTGGGATGTGTCTGAACCTCTCTTTAGTGGTTCATTTAAACAGATATTTCAACGTGTGCCTACTTTGTTCATGTGCTGTTGAGGTTCATTTCAGTAGTTGTCTGCGATAATGTATTTACAAAGTGTGAAGAGGAGGCAATTTTAGACATATTGAGGAGAGCATATTAAGACCAAAGCTCATGTACAACAACTTCCTTACTTGCAATAAATAAGCCCTAATTAGAGGGTTATTGAGGATGGTTAATTTGTGCACCTTAATATAAAGTTGTACCGCTTATATGATGAACATTGATGTCCATGTGCCTTATTCTGTATTTGACATTGTTTCAATAAAAAAAAATATATATATAACTCAATATATTGAGATAGCAAAGTCAATATATTGAGATAGCTAAGTAAATATATTGAGATAGCTAAGTAAATATATTGAGATAAATCAATATATTGACTTACAGGACTTCTTTTTTTTTCCCTGTGGCGCAAACAGGCTTCGATGAAGGCTCAAATTTTCCCAAGCAGAGCATTAAAGCTTGTGATGGTGGACTTCCTGGGGTCATGGTGGACCAGGAAAGGTCAGACATTGACATTATATGGTATTTAAGAGCCACAAGCCTCATTCACAAATAATTAAAGTGTGCTTTTTAGAGCTTAAACAGCTCTTAAACAAATCATTTTGGCAATAAACTGCACTTGACGTTGCCAGCTAAGAACAAAGTGTGTGAGTCAGTCAGGAGTCTGAATGAAGGCTATCTAAAGGTATTGATAAACTCCTCGTTCCTCCTCTCGGGATTGCATGTAGTGTCTAAACACTTAAATCCTCTCCAAGAATAGCCTCTGCTCGTCCAAGCTGTCGGCCCACGTAAATCCCTGCAGGCCGTACACCTTAAGACACCTCTCTCCTTCTCCCGTTAAGTAGCCCGATAGCTGGTCATCGGCTCCCTTCCAACCCCCCCCCCCACTCTGGGCACCTCGCAGCCGGGATTAGGCCTCTCTAACCACAGCCGGCCTATAAGCTTTCATTTCCGTAGTGCGCACATGCTCCCAGGTGCTCCCTTGGTACCTCTGCCGTGCGTAACGAGCACCGGCCCGCGCCCGGTGCTGCTGTCCGCACGCGACATGCTGCTTAACGGCAGAGCAAGCATGCATGGGCCTGTAGAGTTTAAGATGTGTGTTTTTACTCTATAAGAACTTTTAAAAACGTGTTGTTATCTTTGCTTATTGATGGCTGTGTTTTATTATTGTTCGATATTCATAATCTCTTATTTGTTGGGTATATTCATTTCTTTTTCTGTTTTTAAATCTTTCTGCCCTTTTCTAAACTATGATATTTTCCTTTCTATTGAGAAAAGCCTAATAAAATGCCTTGTCTTGTCCAACCAGCAAATGTTCCCATTAGAGCCTTAAAACAAGTGGATTTTTGACATACAAAATAACCCAAACCGTGAGTCAGTTATCAAAATAGTTCCTGACTTACTAATGGATTCGTGGATTTATCAATGCCGGTCTGATCTATATTTAGAT